CGCCCACCTTTCATTGGGTTCTGGGGATCAATTCAGTGAGGAGCCTTGTACAAAATGTGCCTGAGGGCAGCTCCCAGCACTGCCTGAACCATGACCACTGAGTTTTGTGTGGTTTAAATTTGTCAGTTTAGCTGTGCTTGGACAACAGCATGGATCACCGCAGCCAGTAGCATGCAGTGCTGGGAATCTAACTCACTGCTCATGCACATGAGGCAAGTGTTCTACCATTGAGCTAGATCTCTACCCCATGGCAGGGTCACTGTTCTTTCTGATTATACAGGGACAACCCCAACCCACTGAATAGTCTCTGGACCACCCAGAAAATATTGTAAAACTATGACAACTTTGTCACGCATGTGCCTGTATGTGACTTGAGAAGCACCTTGAAACACGCCATCCATCCCTAGCTGCTCGGTAATCTGGACAAAGCAACTGCATTTGCAAGGAAAACTAAATCCCCCTATCCCTCTGGTCCCTGACACACTGCTTGCTTGTGCTGTGGGATTAGGAACGATAAATTGACAAAAGGCAGATGCCTCTATCAGATAGTGTAATAATAACAGAAAAACCAAATACATTTTGTATTGCAGAAGTCAGCAAATGAGACATTCTGAGTAACACAAGGTCTTTCTAACTAATTACACACGCTGTAAGCAGTTAAAACAACCAAGGCTTATTGATTTAAATTCGCTGGTAGATGTCATTATCCAAACTTTTCTCACCACCCTGCATAAGAAAAATTAATAACCACTAAAGAATCATAACTGTAACAGAAAAGACAACCTGGAGACAGTCATGTGACCCCTTTACCATTACATGTCACAAGGGCATGAGAACACATGTATGTATCTATTTTGGACTGAGGGTCCAGGGACCCAGCCAGTTCTAGGCCCTCTGAGTAATCACAGGGCTTAGCTTCTACGGAGCCTCTGGGCTACTGATGCCGTGGAGAAACACTTCAGGGATGGACAAACTGAACACGCTCTTGGTTCTCTATCATCACAAAGGCTGTGACATGGATGAGGGACACTAATTTATCACAGGCCTTGTGGAGGGGGAGTTTCCCAGCTGTGAGCCATCTCAAACCACCTGTGGTGCCCTGATCTGGCCCAGCAACCGATGTCTTGCTGACTACGCAGGCCATGGAGAACGAGCAGACAGAGAAGGCCAAAGGAAGTCGAGCTTGGGTGTCCGGGGATTTCAGTTAGTAACTTCTCCATAGCTGCCTCTCCAGTGTCCCTCTGCGATGTCCTTACATGGAATTAACTCCAAATAAGGTTGATGTTAAGTTGTATACTGAAATTATCTTCTTCATTAGTGTATTTCCAACTAATAGTCAAGACAGAGCTCTTAGAGCTCACAGAGAAAACAAACAATAACAAAGCTGGTTCCCTCCAAATCCAGCAGAGTGGAGGACTCCAACAGCAGCGAGCAGACTACAGTGTGTGTGGCCCACACTGAGCATGGACCCCAAGCCCAGAGAAATGGAACCGTAACTCTGGAGCCATTTACTGTTACTTTACAGTTACTGGTGCTAACTTAACACCCTTCCCAAGCTCTGATAATTGCAGCAGAATTTCTGCAAATGCGAGTGAACTCAGCAGTGGTGGGCACTGCACGCAACATTTTACACGCAATTTCCTCACATCGAGATAATGCTTATTTCTAAGCATAAGGCTGTCATTATTCCTAAATTACAGCTGGAAAAGTCAGGTTTGCAGAGACGAGTCTTCCTAATTACCACCTGGACCACCGCTGTCAGGGTGGAGTCTCTGCTCATCACATATGCCGTTATCCTGGCTACCACGGTGGTAACCACGGTGCAGAAAGTCCCAAGGGCCCGGTATGCAGAGCAAGAATTGGATCTTAAAATTTCTTTAGGTTTTGGGACTTGAACACAGGGCCTTGTGAATGGTACGTCAATGCTCTACTCAATCGATGGCTCCCTCTCCACTTTTTGAGAGAAGGCCTATGTTGCCAAAGCCAGCTTCAACTTTACTAAACAGCTCACAGTCTTTGTGATTCTCCTGCCTCAGCCTCAAGGGCAGCTGGGATTATAGGCCCGTGCCACCAACCTCAGCTTAGATTTAATTAAACAGTGGTGCATAGGTAGTTTCTGCAGCACTGGACCACAGTATACAGAGTAAATGCGTATGACTTTATAACAGCCTTGTGTCTTACCGTCACAAATAGGCTTAATTACAGAAGGCCGGCATGACTATGTATGAAGGTGGCAGTTCAGAATATGTGCTGCAGAGTGGGTCCTAACTTAGGTTTAAATCCAAACCCTGCCAGAAATTAGCCTAGTGCTGTTAACCTCTAAGTCACCTATAAAAAGGAGATACCCCGGGGCTATTGTGAGGAAAAACAGGAGATAAAGTATTAGAGCCCTTGGCACAATTCCCAAACGCACTGAGCATTAACTCAAATTAATAATAATAACGGCCACTAATTATCATTGCTCCAGTCTTTTAAATGTAAATTGCAAGATTTTTAAGTCTTTAAAAAAAAGTTGCCAGGCATGGTGGTGCGTGCCTTTAATCTCAGTACTCAGGTGGCAGAGAACATCAGATCTCTGTGAGTTCAAGACCATACTGGTCTACAAAGTATACACAGTTGATACACAGTTAATAAAAACTCAGAGAGAGAAACAGGGTTTAACCTGAAGATCCGAAAAGCAAAGCAGCCAGCCACTGGCTCTTACCTGTACCTCAGTCCAAAATGGCAATCCTGCCTCCAGGAATCTCAGAACGAGACTGTGTCTGAGAGCTGCCCTCCCCCAGTTTATATTCCTCCCTAGGGCTGGGATTAAAAGTGTGCACCCGGTTTCTATGGCAACTGGTGTGGCTACTGGGATTAAAGCTGCATGTTACCATTGCCTGGTCTGTAAGGCTGACCAGGGTGGCTGTTTTACTCTCTGATCTTCAGACAAGCTTTATTTATTAAAATACCAATGAAAGGCCATTACACACAGTGACATCTCCTCTCCATAAAAAGACACAATTAGGGCTGGTGAGCTCGCTCAGTTGAGTGATAGCACCTTCTCCCACACCTGTGACCTGAGCTGATCTCCAGGACCACATAGAGAAATGGAAGGACTCCCACAGGGTATCTGCTATCCCATGCTTCCTACAGCACGTGTGCCCCATAGAACACAGAAAATAAAATAAAGATATTTCTAATGGAAAGGCACAATTTAACCTCTTAAGAACTTGCACTGTGTGTGTATGTGTGAATTTTATGTGTAATGATTGTTTTATCTGCATGTATGTCTATACTCATATGCATGCCACAAGCCCACGGAGGTCAGATGAAGGCATCTTCAGGATCGAGCTATAGGGCGTTTACCTAAGCAGTAGCTGATGGAGGAGAGGAGGGCCCGCTTCACTTTAGGTGATGCTATGTCCAGGCTGGTGGTCCTGGAGAAAGTATGCTGAGCAAGCTACAGGGAGCAAGCCAGTCAGCAGCACCCCTCCATGGCCTCTGCATCAGCTCTTGCCTCCAGGTTCCTGCCCCATTTGTATCCTTTGGTGATGAGCAGTGACGTGGAAGGGTAAACCAGATGAACCCTTTCCTCCCGAGTTGCTTTGGTTGTGGTGGCTTTGTCACAGCAATAGAAACCCTGATTAAGACATGAGGGATATTTGTTGCTCCTCATTTATAGACACACATTGTCTGTCTGCCCCATGCTGGGGTCATTAATTCTGATCACTTGCCTGAAGTACCCCCGATGATTCCCCACTGTCTATAGTTACAATTTTTCTTTTCTAGTTAATATATAATTTGTGGGAAAAGTATTTCGAGAGTATCTGAATATTCAGCCCCTCCAAACCCCTCCTTTCCTAGTAACTGGGCCTAATATCTGTTGGAGATTCTTGTCTGATCAGCTCTCACTGTGATGGGTACAAAACAGCAACTCCTCCATCATTTCCCCACGTGTATTTAATAATTAGCATTTATCACACATAAGAGCTGGATTATCTTTCCTGCTTTACACACTTATTCAGCTTCCAGCTATGGGAATCCTCATCTCATTCGGGAGATACCTTCGATGGTTCAAAATGCCTTTCAAATAAATGCAAGTGACAGCAAATTGAACCTGTACTAAAGTCACCAGAAAGGCAACATCGATTCACTGGGCGAAAGCAAGCCTGCTAACAGAGTCGCTGCTTAAGGTGAGATCTGGGGGGCCTGGGGCTCTGTCACAAGGACACTGAGAGGGATCCCCGCCGAGCTGCAATGCCGCTGCTCATCAGACATGATATCACACGACAAGCATTTCAACCCAACAACGCATCCATTTCTCCACAACTACCAAAGTCAAACGTTCTGGCAAACTCCAAGGGACATGATTTACAAATAGTAGGTAATATTTGGAGCACTCTGCAAAGAGCTGGGCTCCAGCTTTTTTAAAAAATAAAACACAAATGATTTCATGCTTGGAGCTCACTGTATCACTTTGTCAACAGTCTCTCGTATCGGGAATGAGGCCCGAGTTATATACAAGAGAAACGGGCTCGTGTGTATTTATTCTGCGGTCAGAGACCACACAGCAGAGGCTGTTTACAGCTTTGACAGAGCTCTTAATGCCATGAGGCGGAAGGGAACACCAAGACTCAGGCCACGCAGAGCATGGCAGCAGGTCCTGCACCACCGTGCTAACGATGCCCGACTGTGTCTCCACATAACACGTGCTGCATCTGCTCTCTGCGGATTTCTAACTATGCCATCCAGACATCCCCTGCGCACAAGTAAAAGCACAATCTCCTTTGGTATCATTTTAATGGAAAGGATTATTTTTTTTTCAAAATGCATTACAAACTGGCACACTATACCCAACTATAATCCCAGCAGCGTTTGGGACACTGGGAAGGACTGAGGGAAGCCAGGCTTGGGTACATAACAAAATATTGCCTCCAGAAACAAAATGTCTTGCAAAAATTGAGAGTCGTTATAAACTTGCACTAGGAGCATTTCGGGGGAAGGTGTTGAACACTTACCAAGAAAAATCTGGGAACGCCGTTGGCCAGTCTCTCTGTCTTCAGATGCCAGACCAGGGGCTGTGGGGAGTTGAGCAGGAACACAACTGGCTTGTAGTGAATGTGAACTGAGGAGATGGGTCTCAGATGCAGTGTAACCTAGGAGACCAAGAAAGCAAGGAGAGAGCTCAGCGCTGATCCCAGCACCTAGGCAGCACTCAGACGTTTCACGGCTCACGGCCAACAGCATCACAGGCAGCTCCAGATCAATGTATATATGACGCCATACGTGGTTAAGCTAAATGCTGCCCACGTCCGGCCATTGTTTTACTACCTAGCGGCTACGTCATCTGGTCAGTCCCAGTCATCTAGACTAAAACATGGCTCACCCACTAAGAATGGAACAAAGAACGCAGAACACTCTCTTGTGCCCCCAAACTGGTAGCGTGGGAATACAAATGACCTTTCCTCAGGGATTCCTCACCCTTCAACCATGAACACTAAGTTGGGATTAGAGAACAGAATCCTCCACGGTGGGTTTTTCCTCTGGGCCCAGACAGAAAGGACCTTCTTCTCTTCCAGGTGACTTCCTCCAACTGGTACAAAGTTAGGTATGCTCTGCCAAAGAAAACTGCTGAAAGCAAAGAGAGCGGCTGCCAAGGGCAGTGCCCTACCCCTTCTAGCTACCAACACACGGGGATTTCCAAAGCCACGAAGCCCAGCGATCAGACGGGATAAACAGTGATGATATACAGCCTCCGCAGAAAAGAAAAGAGGCGCTAGAGGTGGTTCAGCGGTTAGGAGCGCTTACTGCTCTTGTTGAGAACCCGAGTTTGGTCCCTAGCACCCTGAGTGGTGGCTCTCAACCACCTGTAGCTGCAGCCCCAGAAGATCCAGCCCTTGTCTGGCCTCAGATGACTCCTGGACACATCCGAGTTTGTACAATCCCCAGAGCAGAGCATTGAAACCCAACTGTTTGGACTTTCCCTATGGCTGCTGGCCCACTTTGATCTCTGCCTTACTTTTAAGAGACAATCGAGAACCAATCTCATTTATTAGAGTGACCAAGTTATGAATAAATAAAGCACCACGCTTTTCTTATTTTTCAAAACCCATGCTTTAGCTTATAACAAGCACCTTCTAAATGCCGGCAGGATCTTTTAATTCTCCATCTCTTGATGCCACAAGGCATATGAGTCCGTAGAGAGTTTGCAGATACATATACAATAGCATTGCTTGTTAACTACAGAATGTGCCCATCTTAATTTCCAAACAGACTACGCAAAAAGATGCACCTTGAATCGAGTATTGATAACAGTATGTTGCAGGCAGCAACACTACTGACTCCCTGTAACCACTCTGTAAATGCATAGGTAACCCAAAAGATTGGGAAAGAGGCTGAAGAAACGGCTACGTTTCAAGGGGTTTAGCTAGTTAATTTGCAGCAAAATACAAATCTCAAGCAGCAATTCTCAAACTATTGGGAACTATTTCTGTACACAGGACCAGTTTTAGACTTGGAGCGAGCACAGAATCAAATCAAAGTACTAAATGAACTGTGATGTCAGCCACAGCTCCAGCAAACGAATGTGTTCCTTGGTTGTTCAGACACATAGTGCACTCCAGAGTCACCGTCGTCATCTAGAAATAAACAGATCGATAGCCACCAGACACAAGAGATGCCATCAAAGCAGAGCGGAGGCAGATGTCCAGACTGCAGCCCTGCCTGAACACATAAGTACATGCGACAGGGAAAGCATGCTGTCAAGAGGGAGGGCAGGAGGCACGGCTTCTGCACCTGCGAACTACAGAGTTTTGCGGACACTGACTAACAGGTAAGTGGTTGTGCAGGGTGTGCCTGTGATGCTGGCTAACGGGTTAAATGGTTGTGTAGGGTGTGCCTGTGGCTCACTGAGAACCACCAAGGCCCAGAGAATAGCAACTATCATCTCCAGGGTCACTGACTCTTTCCTTGCTTTGCAGTCAGTCTGAAGGCAGACACCTTTTCTTAAAGCTGCTAAATATGCGAAAGCGTTGCTCAAAATGTGTAAAATCAATAAATATACATCTCAAATAAACAAGAATATTTTTAAGCTTATGAAATGAGAAGATGCATGAAACAGACACTGGTGTGTTTGGGTCCTAAGTTCCCCAGATGGTCTGAGTGTCGAGGCCTGGCTCCGACAATCAAGGAAAGATTTCTAAGAAGCTTAGCTCTGAGTTTTCCTGGAAACGGTTCCTTCTTCAATATGTGGCCATGTCTGGCCAAGATGAGTCTCTCTGACTCTGGCACAGATGTCCCAGGCAAAGCCCCAAAGCCACTTGGCAACAAAGAATTCACACTATGGTTGGGAAATTAAAAGGAAAATACAAATATTCAATACTCCCCCCACCCTTTTTTTGTCATTTGGCAGGCACAAAAAGTTCCATGAGCTAAGGCTAACCAAATCCTCAGAAGCTTTCCTCTCCCGTTCTTTCTCCACCTGAGCAACCTCACATAAGGGGGGATGCAGACACCCAGAACCCAGCAAAAGCAGGAAGGTAGAAAAGCCCCTCCAAATGTGAGGAGAGCTCAGCCCAAACATTTGAAAGAACTATGGCCAAATTGCCTAATTTCTTCTAAGCTGAGAAATAGAAAAAGAAACAAAAAAGGCAGAAGAATGAAAACCTTTAGGATCAGTTATCGCTTAGAAACAATAATTACAAACCGGATGTGGTGATTCACGTGTAATCCAGCACTCAGGAGGCTGAGGCAGGGGGATCAAGGTTTAAGCCACCATCCCCAAATTAAAAAAAAAAACAATCCTGCAGAGGTTTTTATAGTTATATTGTCCTTGGGAGTCAGAGAGAAGAGCCAAGGCAGACTGCAACAAAGAAATCTCCCTCTGAGAAATGGGACAGGCAGCATGCGACAATCTCTAAGAAATCCAAAGAGCAGTTTGAAGAGTCCACCCTCAATCCTTTATCCAACTCACACATGAAAACACACACGAAGCTGAGTGTCATGAGCTTCAAAAGCAACAGGGAACTCAATGGAGGGGTGATGTGATGAGGAGACGAGCAGGAAGCCTCCTGAGGGAAGGGATTCTATAATCGGGGTCTGAGAGCCTCTGGGAGCTACACAGCATTTGAGAACTCTCTCTTCATAGGCACACACACAAAACTTTGCACCAATGTGAGAAAAATGTACCTAGAACCCAGGTGAAGGAGTCCACTGTACAAGAGCAGGAAATTCTAGCAGCGCAATTGAAGACAAAAGGCTTCATCTCATTGAGCTAGGACGCACACATCTAAGAGGTCATCCTTCCCGGGAACAGCTTCACAGACAACTCCAGTGACTGTCTAGAGTTTCTGTTCTCTCCTCTCTTTCTACCCACTCCTCATGATGCCCAGAGATCCTGCTCTAAACTTAGGTGTGTCAACACGCACTGAGTGGTCTATAATGCTGGTGACAAGAGAAAGTGCTAACAAATCTGGTCTGCCACACCTGTGTCCCACCTCCCCACTCCTCCACAAGAAGGGACGCCAGCTGGTCTAATCAGCTCTGTAGCACTGAGGCTCTCTGTGTGCAAACATTCCAGACGCGGTTTTATAAAGCGACTCACTCAAAGCAGAGCTGAGAGCATCCTCGGGACCCTGCACAGCTTCAGGGAGCCTCTGAGTGGGGGGGGGGGAGGAGGGGAGCGCATTTCTAGCCTCCTGTTCTGGAGATGCACCCTGATCTACACACTGCCAGACAAGGACTCTTGAGATGGAAAAGCTGTCTCTATTTTCTTTCCTTCCTTCCCACCTTCCTTCTTTCCTTCGAGTGGGGAGTAGGGTCAAACTGTGTAGCCCAGGCTGGCCTTGACTCCACACACAATCCTCCTGCCTCAGTCTCCTGAGTACTGAGATTTCTGGCATGTGACGCCATGCCCAGCTAGCTTCTCCACTTTCTAAATATTACACTTGATAAGAAAAAGCAATGTATATTTTCTCAAATCCTGCAAGTCATTCTGAAAATGAACTGTGTACTTACAGGTAGAGGAAGAAACTTACTCTTTATGGAAAGAAGCCATAGAAAAATTGTTTTGAATTTCCTGGAATTTATAGTCTACAAGCAAGACATTCCTATCATAGAGATTTCAAAAGATTTCTTATTAGTAAGACCCCACCCCCCAACTCCTGGGGTTTATTAAAACAAACAAAACAAAACTCACACAGCAACTGATATGTGAGTCTAACAACTGCCGTTTTGCTAACATGTCACTGAGATTTTCTTTCAACATTTCTAAATCTTAGGCCAGCCTTCTGACCCATGTGGACCCATGAAGCAATGAAGTCATTGAAAACTCGTCCCCGGGAGACTTCTTATCTAAAACCAAACCAAGTAATGTTCCGAAATGGATGATTCAATAATCAGTTTACACTACAGATAAGAAAGAGAACCCCAGCAGTGTGCCCCTAACCAAGAGTAAAAGCAGGAGACATTCTGCATGTCCCTCACCTGTCCCCTCTGCAGAGGGGAGGAGGTGTCACCCAGTGGTGTCAGGGACTGGGACACCTCTGGGCACTCAGATGTTACACAGAGAGATAGAGGTATATAGATGACTGAAGACATGGAGGACCCCCTGGCTGAATTCAGATTTTTCTTATACTTGGGCAAAAATACTTTCAGGAACTCAACTGTGACCCCCACCCCAATGGTTCTGAAATATGTACCTGGCTGTGGGAAAGAAAACTGTATTTAGCTAATCAACACTAAGTGCTTTAAAGGGTCTTCCAGTCTGAGGAACTCTGACAGTTGACACCGTAACTGCCGGGCTTGTCTTCCGCCGTTTGGGAAGTAGTATAAAAAGACCCCGTAACGCATTCTTGGAAGGGTAGATTTAGAGTTTTGTAAAATTAAAAAAAAAAAAAGCAAAGAATGTCCCTTAGAAATTTTTATATGATGCTGAATTTCCAACGAAGAGTTAGTTGGTACTGAATCCAAAGTATCCAGACCTCTGAGAGTCCCCACCCCACCCAGGACCATCCTCCGCCTCTAAAGAAGCCCCAAAGCCTTCACACTGCATGGAGATAACATCAAGCTTCCTCCCTGCCCTTCCATCCTGCAGTCACTTACTGAGCCGAGAGGAACAGAGAATTCCCAAACTACTGCCCTCCCCCCAACAAGGACA